ACATGTTTGACGTCATTAATTGGGCTTGTACATGGCATGTTTGATGTCATTATTTGGACTAGTGCATGACATGTTTGATGTCATTGTTAGGCCCAGTACATGACATATTTGATGTCATTGTTTAGGGTAGTGCATGACATATTTGATGTCATTGTTTGGGATAGTACATGACATGTTTGATGTCATTGTTTGGGCTATTACATGACATGTTTGATGTCATTGTTAGAACTTGTACATGAATGACATGTTTGATGTCATTGTTTGGGATAGTACATGACCTGTTTGATGTCATTGTTAGGACGAGTACATGACATGTTTTATACTGCATTCAAGATAGCGGCCCCCATATAGTAAATATTGTATTTATTTTATTATCATGTGTGCGCCAGCTGACTGTGGTTTGATGTCATTGTTTGGACTAGTACATGACTTGTTTGATGTTATTGTTTTGGCTAGTACATTACATGTTTGATGTCATTGTTTTGGCAAGTACATGACATGTTTGATGTCATTGTTTAGGATAGTACATGACATATTTGATGTCATTGTTTGGGCTAGTACATGACATGTTTTATGTCATTCTTTGGACTAGTACATGACATATTAGATGTCATTGTTTAGGATAGTACATGACATATTAGATGTCATTGTTTAGGATAGTACATGACATATTTGATGTCATTGTTTGGGCTATATTTATGACATGTTTGATGTCATTGTTTGGACTAGCACATGACATGTTTGATGTCATTGTTTATGATAGTACATGACATAATTGATGTCATTGTTTGAGCTAGTACATGACATGTTTGATTTCATTGTTTAGGATAGTGCATGACATATTTGATGTCATTGTTTAGGATAGTACATGACATATTTGATGTCATTGTTTGGGCTAGTACATGACATATTAGATGTCATTGTTTAGGATAGTACATGACATATTTGATGTCATTGTTTAGGATAGTACATGACATATTTGATGTCATTGTTTGGACTAGTACATGACATGTTTATGTCATTCTTTGGACTACTACATGACATGTTTGATGTCATTGTTTATGATAGTACATGACATAATTGATGTCATTGTTTGAGCTAGTACATGACATATTTGATGTCATTGTTTAGGATAGTACGTGACATGTTTGATGTCATTGTTTGGACTAGTACATCACATGTTTGATGTCATTGTTTGGACTAGCACATGACATGTTTGATGTCATCGTTTTGGCTCGTACATGACATGTTTGATGTCATTGTTTGGACTAGTACATGACATGTTTGATGTCATTGTTTTGGCTAGTACATGTCATGTTTGATGTCATTGTTTGGAATAGTACATGACATGTTTGACGTCATTGTTTGGAATAGTACATGACATGTTTGACGTCATTGTTTGGGCTAGTACATGACACGTTTGATGTCATTGTTTAGGATAGTGCATGGCATAATTGATGTCATTATTTGGACTAGTGCATGACATGTTTGATGTCATTGTTAGGCCCAGTACATGACATATTTGATGTCATTGTTTAGGATAGTACGTGACATGTTTTATGTCATTGTTTGGACTAGTACATCACATGTTTGATGTCATTGTTTGGACTAGCACATGACATGTTTGATGTCATCGTTTTGGCTCATACATGACATGTTTGATGTCATTGTTTGGACTAGCACATGACACATTTGATGTCATCGTTTTGGCTCGTACATGACATGTTTGATGTCATTCTTTGGACTAGTACATGACATGTTTGATGTCATTGTTTTGGCTAGTACATGACATGTTTGATGTCATTGTTTGGACTAGTACATCACATGTTTGATGTCTTGTTTTGTCTAGTACATGACATGATTATAACATGGTAATATGTGACATATTATTTGAAAACAAGGCTAGTGTGTCCTAAGCATTCATTATGTCTGAATGTTGGCAATCATTTCTACTCCTGCCATTATTTTGGTTGAAATTTAATCTGCTAATTGATTTTAAATCATATTGCATCACATTCACCTGTACCTCTTGCCCCATTGCTGTTGATTTACCCTTGATCTGTTTTACTGTATCCCACACTCTCAACTTTTATAGTGGTCATAGTTCATAATAATTATTATACATCTGTCGCCTTAATGCACTGGGCATTTGGATCCTATCATATTCGGAACGCAAATTTTAATTATGGAAAAATTATGTGTGTCAGTGTCCTCTAATAAGAAAAACAAACATGGCAGCCCTCAGTGTTTGACAGGACCCCACACAAAGAAGTTTGCTGCCGTAAATCGGTTCTAAACTTTTTGGATTTCTGCATTCCCATGATGTATTCCTGGGAGGAAAAGATGTATAATAATAAGGTCATTACGAGGATACCACAAAGTATGCACCCAGACAATACGCAGTTTCATCAAAATACGCCGAGTGTTGGTTGATACTCCTGCTGTACGGTCTTCGTGCATACTTTGCAGTATCATCGTAATAACCTCATAGTATTGATCAGAATTTCCAAATAATTCAAGAAAACCAGGAGTACACAACTTTTTTTATATACGACGAAACTATTTTACATAGGAAACAATGATAAATGGCTGTAAAATCATTTTCATGGGTGTTCAACACTTATATTTTCTCAAACACTATCAGACCTATACCTTGTATACACAATTGATTTTATTAAAATTAATTTACACATGTAAGATATAGCACTTCAGTATAATGGTAACAAAAACACAGATTACACTTTGGGTAAAAGCATGGTGAATCTAGCCTTGGATATTCTGACTGCATAAATACATCAAACATGGAAGTGAGACTCAGAAGTCTAAATTTCACACACACAACCTTGGAAAATACTGTACTTGTAAATACTATAATAGTGTTCCATATTTGTTTAAAATGTTAAATTCAAACCATAATTTGTCCTAATTGAAGTGTGGTTTATGCAAAGTTTAACCTTTTTTAATAACCTTTCTATCACATGATAGTGTCGAAACAACTGAGAAATTGTATGCAAATTGTATGCTAATTAGGCATGATGTCTACGCGCATAAGTTGATGCACTGATGATTTCCAAAATTGACAGAAATATAAGCATTATTAGCAATATTTTGTTTTCAAAATAAACTCTCAGTCATTGTGAAATATTGCCATTGTACCATGATTAAGCAATTGTTGTTCAATCTGAAATTCTTATATCGCATCGATAAAAACATTATCGTTGCACGATTTTGTTTTTTCTGCATACTGTTATAGCATGCAGAGACTAACACAACACAACTGAGAACAATATGCACTATAACAATATTTCTAATCAGCTCCAGATTTTGATTAACATGTTTTTTTTTTAAATATGTAACATACTACCGGTACTGTAAATGCATTAATTATTCACTGGGTTTTAATTTCGTCATTTTTGCTGATAATTAAATCCACTAAATTAAATCTACGTGAACATGTAAAATAACAAAAAACTCATTGTTTTCTTGACAAATCCATGAAAAACATCAAAATAGTGAAATTAAATGTCAGTGAAAATAAATGGTTTTACAGTGTGTATAGAGTTATGACTTGATAAAACCTGATTTGTGTTGAAAGTGTTATAAGCAATCAATCATAGATTGTTGCAGGAAATACATTTTAAAATTGATATATTAAATTATTGAAAAGTTCCTGGTGATGTACATACAGCACTTACACACTTGAAACGACACACGCATGATTTTCTGTGTTGAAAAAAACATAAAAACAAATACACTGTTAATAATATTCTAAGTGAAACTGGATACTGTAGATTTTATCAAATTAACTTGACCAGTTTATGCATAGACCTTAGGTGGTTTATGATACCATAGAGTTTACAAACTACACCAATGATAAAGTGCTGTGAAGAATACAAATATATTTTAAAAAGATGTAGAAAGTTCTCTCTAACTTTATGTACAATCACGTGTCATAATTTTCATTATATAAAATCCATAATACTGCCATAATTTATGACAGTCCCCTCAGCCACCTATCTGAGCTCATAGCCACATGCAGATATTCACTGCAGTCTCCCAGTTGCCTACAAAAAACTATGAGCTCTTTAACCACAGGCAGAATTTAGAATACAGAAGTATAGCATTTACTACAGACTCCCTAGTCATCTATAAAAACTACTGTCAGCCCCTTAACTTCATGTTAGTTGACACACAATGTTGTGATGGCTGTTGAAGAAAGTTTTTTTCACTTCAGTATAATTTTTGGAAACTGCTGGTTTTAAAAAATATATAGCAATTATCCAGATGCACAATTGAAGATTTAAAAAACTTGAAACTTACAAAATCTCACAAGTTTGAAATTACTAGGCTTTATCAACAGACAGTATTTATGTAATTTTATTTATCACACTTTGGAATAAATTGTAATATATTATTTCAAATTTATTCTCAGACACAGTACCAATCCTGTAAGTTCTAGTATTGTGCATGTTTATCTTCTGATGTTGTCTATTGTCTAGTATGCCATAACTGACGTCACAGTCTTGAAATTTGTACCATTGATAGACCTGGAGGAAGAAATAACATATAATTTCAATATGTGCAAACATCAAGCAAGCTTAGCAAAAATGCGTACTTTAGCTAACCAATATTTTCAAAAAGCATATCTTTATAAAAGATGATTGGCACTTTAGCTATATTAAAGTTTTGCTATTTTTTGCATTGACGCAAGTTTGCTACAATGGCATATGTAAGTTTTTCACAATGTAAGTTTTCACACCAATCAAAAATATAGTTACAGGGTTATTTGCATAATGAACATTTAGCATGCGACAGTGAATTATATGACACTCCTTATTTTGGGATTCAACTTCTGAATGATCAGAATCACCAAAAGTGACATATTTAAATGGTTTGGGGAGAACAATTATGATTGGCACAAACAGCACTAAACATAGTTGAACTCTGGTGACCTTGCCCTTTGTTATATAATATAATTCCCTTTATCATAGTTTGTTTCAATATAAATATGCATTGTCATAATTAATTTTGAATACAAACAAGTTTTGGGGTTGAACCAACAGTGGGGAATCAGTCTACCGAATGTCCTTAAAAGATGTAAATATCTTACAAAAACATGCCTTATTTGTTTAATTATTTTAAGGAACATAATTTTCAGCTTTATTCAAAGTAATTCAGATATTTTAGTATAAAAACAAATGACTCATCGCAGAAAAAAAGTGCTGCATTTAGACGTGAATAGATTCATAAAACATGCAAGATAACAGAAAATCTTAGCTGGCTTTTGTCCAAGTATTTTGTACAGGTGTCTGTCAAAAATTAATGATTCACTGAGACAAATATGAACTTCCTCATTGTGTAACTACTGTATTATATGAAAAGTAAAAAAAAACACCCTTTATGAATAGCTATCATGTTGCAAGCTCTGCTTTGTATGCAAATCAACTTAAATAGTTGGTGTCCAGTGGAGGGAAAAGTCAACAGTACTGTTGCCTCCTGAGAATCTACATCTTCAAACACTGCAATCTTTGAAGTGTGTTTTTAAACTAGTATTATAAA